GGTTTGGTTTGGATTGGTTTGGTTCAGTTCGGTTTGGATTGGTTTGGTTTGGTTTGGTTTGGTTTGGTTTGGTTTGGTTTGGTTCAGTTCCGTTTGGTTTGGATTGGATTGGTTTGGTTCAGTTCGGTTTGGATTGGTTTGGTTTGGTTTGGTTTGGATTGGTTTGGATTGGATTGGTTCGGTTTGGATTGGATTGGTTTGGTTTGGATTGGTTTGGTTTGGATTGGATTGGTTTGGTTTGGTTTGGATTGGATTGGATTGGTTGGGTTTGATTTGGATTGGATTGGTTTGGTTTGGATTGGTTTGGTTCAGTTTGGTTTGGTTGGGTTTGGTTGGGTTTGGATTGGATTGGATTGGTTGGGTTTGATTTGGATTGGTTTGGTTCAGTTCGGTTTGGATTGGTTGGGTTTGGTTTGGATTGGTTTGGTTTGGTTTGGTTTAGATTGGATTGGATTGGTTTGGTTTGGATTGGATTGGATTGGTCGGGTTTGGTTTGGTTTGGTTTGGATTGGTTTGGATTGGTTTGGTTTGGTTTGGATTGGATTGGATTGGATTGGTTCAGTTTGGTTTGGTTTGGATTGGATTGGTTTGGTTCGGATTGGATTGGATTGGATTGGATTGGATTGGATTGGATTGGATTGGTTCAGTTTGGTTCAGTTCGGTTTGGTTCGGTTTGGTTCAGTTCGGTTCGGTTTGGTTCAGTTCGGTTCGGTTTGGTTTGGTTCGGTTTGGTTTGGTTCAGTTCAGAGCTTTCCCACCGACACCTCAAGGCCTGGAGGTGCCCTCAGAGCTCTGGGCTGGGGACAGGGTGGGGATCAGTCACAGCTGGGACTCCATGGCTTGTATGGATTCAATCCCTGCAGCATCAGATCTGTGCTGCTGTTTTACTGTGTCAGGGGTTTGGCTGTTGGGTTTGTTTTGGGATTTGGCTGTGTGATCCCAATGCTCTGCTGGCATCTTCAAAACTGGAATTATCCCCCTGCTGCTCCTGGCAGTGCTCCTCAGGCAGCAGGAGGGGATTCTGCACAGTTCCCCCGCCCAGGGATGTACAGAAGTAAATTTTATTTGCAAATACACGCAGTGATCAGCTGCCATCCCATCTGTCCCCACTCTGCAGAGGCCTGACCTACAAGAACAGTGGGGTGGACATTGAAGCTGGGAACACTTTGGTGCAGAAGATCAAACCCTTTGCTGCAGCCACATCCCGCTCAGGTAAGACCAGAACCTTCTGCTCCTGCTCTGGTCACTGCTTTCACTCAGGTTTACCAGTTGATTTTGATAAAAAGCTCATCTTTATGTGCCCTGCCTGTTTCTAGGTGACACAAGAAAGCCTGTGGTAAGCAAATGGCAGTGATTTTATTGCAAATGCACAGCTTTTAACCCCCACATGGCTCCAAACTCCACCTCCTGAATGCCAGGAGCGTTACAGAGCACAGTTCAGCACAGTGTAAGGATAAATGCAAGCAGAAATTTCACCATTAAGTACTGAGTTGGATTCCATGGGTTATTATTTCTCGCACAGTGAACTCCATCATTTGGGGGGATGAATGTTTAGACAGGTTATGAGATGTAGAATTCCTGGGGTAGATGTGGAACCCACCTCTTTTGCTCAGCTGAATCAGCATTGATTCATCCTTGGGTTTGGGGCTCAGGCACATCTTGCTCTAGCAAATTCTTGGAGTTCTTCAGACAGATTTAAAATTATTCTTTTATTTAAAATATTCATTTATTTATTTAAAATATTCATTTATTTAAAATATTCATTTATTTATTTAAAATATTCATTTATTTAAAATATTCATTTACGGAATGGCCCTTTTATTTCAAATGAACTGAGAACCTTCTAATGACGTCAGGTATACATAGAGGGGAAAATATAGATTATCTCACACCAGTACAACCATCTTACCACAATTCCTCCATCTTACCACAATTTCCAATTCACAGAAACCTTAGTGCAAGGGGGAAATCTCTCATTGACAGGAATTACTGACTGCTCAGTCACAAAGTTGGGGATTTTTAGGCTTAGGCTAATGATGAATTAAAAAGGCAAAGCCAACCTAAGCAGATTAGGAGCTCCTGAGTGAAAAGGTTCTAAATGGCAGAGAAAAGTTTCCTGGTGACAAAGCAAAGCCGCGTTGGCAAACCTTGCAGAGAATTTGTGCTGGAGATGCTGGGGAAGCCCCTGGGAGTAAAGCTGGGCTGTTTCTCCTTTTCCTGGCTGGCAGGCTGCAATGCAGAGCTCGGAGGCTTTGCTGGGCTCTTTGACCTGAAGGCAGCTGGGTACAGAGATCCCATCCTGGTGTCTGGAACCGACGGCGTCGGCACCAAACTCAAGGTAAGGTGGGAATCCACCCAAAGGGGGAAAACCAGCACAGCAGGGAAAAGGTTCTGTCACAAAATAGCAGCTGTGCTGGAAAAATACCTGTTGGTCTTTCTAAAGAAGGGGATGGACACTGAAATTGCCCTTCTTCAGGCAAGAGAATGAAATACCTGTAAATAGCCAGATATGCTGATATCTGATACTATCAACTGATATGATAACATCAACTATCAGAAGTTGATATCATCAGTAAATATCAGAAGCTGATAAGATGCCTAAAGTAACTGGGTTTTAAATATTAAGGATATAACCAGGAATCTTGTTTCACAAAAGCAGCATCTCCACCCTCAAAAAAGATTAATTGATGGGGAAAAACATTTAATCCCAGGTTTGCTGTTGTGTTAGGGCTGCAAGGAAACCCTTTTGCAGCACAGTTTCCTTCTCAGTGCCTCTTGGATCTGCCAGTGGAGACAGGAATAATTCCTGAAGAGAGTTAGAAGAGGATAACAAACAAAGCTGCTCCTCAAAGAGCACCTGGAGGGATTTTGGCCCATTGCTCCCAGACTGCTCCTGATTTCAGTCCCTTGCAGAGCCGGCCTGTGCTCTGGGGGCCCAGAGCTGATCCCAGGCTTCTCCCAGAGCTGATCCCAGGCTTCTCCCTTGTTTTGCAGATTGCTCAGGAGTGCCAGAAACACGACACCATCGGGCAGGACCTGGTGGCCCTGTGTGTCAATGAGCTCCTGGCCCAGGGGGCTGAGCCCCTCTTCTTCCTGGATTATTTTGCCTGCGGCAGACTCGACGTGGACGTGGCCCAGGGCGTCATTGCAGGAATTGCTGATGCCTGCAAGAAAGCTGGATGTGCTCTTTTGGGTAGGAACACTTCTCAGGGGGATCTGAGAAACCTTCTGCAAGGTCTTGTAGTTGGTTTGAGTGTGGTTGGTTTCCTACTCTGTGGAAGAATCTGGGAGGAGGAAAAAAGCAAATTGTTCCATGTCTTTGCTTTCGGGGAACTCGATGTGGATCACAGTGGAAGGAGACAGTGCTTTAAAAGTTTAGGTTAAATTTAGATTAGGTTTAGGTACAGATTTAAGTTAGATGTTGAGAAAAAGTTCTGTCTTTTTTTCCAAATTTTAGCAAAGTTAGGAACACAAGTCCTTTCTCAGTGGGTGTCATTTTGGGTCTGTTTATAGGCTTTGAACAAGAGGCTCTTTATGCCCTGGTTTACTTTTTTCCTGCATGAACTGTTGGTCAGCTTTATGTTTGTTTTAAGGTGTTCTCTGCATTTATCAAATATAATCACCCCATTCATGCTGCAGCAAGGTCTGTGCTAGGTGAGACCTTGTGATGAAACCACCAAAATGTCAAGATTTTATCTCCAGCTCAAGATTTTCAAACTCCACAGGCCTTTCTGCAAGAGCTGAACCTTCAGCTCAACAAATTTAACTCATAACCCCCCTGACAGTGAGGGGGTGAGGGCTCATCTCTTGCCTGGTTTTGCACAATTAATTGTGGGTTTAAGTGGTGGGTGGCCAAGCAGTTCTCCATCCTCCATTTGATCCAGCCCTCATTAATACAGCTGAAACACCAGGACTGAAAAAAGCAGGGGAAGCTGGAGCACAGGGCAGGGAGTGCAAAGTGGGAAGAGGAGAGGAAAAGGCAGGATTTTACCCAGAGCAGCTGGGGCTGCCCCTGGACCTCAAGGCCAGGCTGGGCACCGGGGCTGGAGCAGCCTGGGACAGTGCGAGCTGTCCCTGCCTGGGTGCAATGAGATCAGCTTTAAAACCCCTTCCAACCCAAACCAGGGATGAGATGAGCTTTAAAACCCCTTCCAAGGCAAGCCATTGTGGGATTCCATTATCAAAGCCAGGCTGTTTCAGCCCCTCTTTGCTGTGTTCTGGTCCCCAGGAGGAGAAACGGCCGAGATGCCGGGGATGTATCCGCCCGGCGAGTACGACCTGGCCGGCTTTGCCGTGGGGGCCGTGGAGAGAGGGCAGATGCTGCCCCAGCTGGACAGGATCACTGAGGGGGACGTGGTCATTGGGGTGGCATCTTCTGGGGTCCACAGCAACGGCTTCAGCCTCGTCAGGAAGATCGTGGAGAAGTCGTCCCTGGATTTCTCCTCCCGCGTCGGGGTCGCCGGGGACCAGACTCTGGGTACTGCTTCCTCCTGAGCTTCCTCCCAGCTGGGCCTTTGAAACTTTTCTCAGGCACAAAAAAGGAAATCATTCCATCTTTAGCATGTTTTCATCTTTTTCTTTCCCTGGGAGTCACGTGTGCAGGGAAGAAACAAAGGGAGGGGGAATAAATAATTACTTGTGGGCTAAAATTACAAAGGTAGAACTTTGTGTTTCTCTCTAGTACAATGCTCATTACTATCCAAACTGCTGTTTTGAGATTCCCCCCGTTTTGTACTGATTCCCATTTCTCTCCATGCTTTTCCCTCTGCCCTGGGCAGGAGAGCTGCTGCTGACCCCAACCAAGCTCTACAGCAAGAGCCTGCTGCCCGTGCTGCGCTCGGGCCACGTCAAAGCCTTCGCCCACATCACCGGAGGGGGCCTGCTGGAAAACATCCCCAGGGTCCTCCCAGGCTCCCTGGGCGTCGTTCTAGGTGAGAGAGAAGGAAAGCTGTGGAAAATTCCCCACTTTACTGCGCCATGCTGTGGCCACAGCAGCTGATGTGTGCTGTAGGAGCTGGACGTGTCTGTCTAGAAATGTTTGAGTTTTTCCTTGTGCCTGAACCAGAGCCAGCCAAAACAGCCAGTGTTTCCTTTGTGGTGGAAAGGCTGCTCCCCATTGAATTCCTTCCCCTGGGGGTGTTTGGGATTGGATTTCATAGGACACTTGCAAAAAGAAAACAGCCCTAACCAGCATTCCCAAGTCAGCTGCACCATTTGCAATTCCCTACGAAATTATTGCTAATTAAATGATACTCATGAAGTTTTCAGTTAGCATCCAGAGGTGGTTGTGAGCTCAGGGACAGCTCCTGCTGTTTTTGGCTTCATCAATCCTCAGCACTCTCCCCTCAGGCGTGCAGGAAAGATTTCACTGCTGGGGAAGGTGAGGCATGGAGGGGGAAAAGGCTGGCACAGGTTGTGAGAGCTCACGGGGTTGTACAATAAAACAAGGAATTAATAGTGAGTTCTGAACTCAAGAACTGCCCATAAATCATTTTCCACTTGTCCACTGATAAATATTTATGTGT